TGCTGTTTGGTGATGAGAAAAGGTCTTTCTGTTTCTGAAGTGTGATATTTGAGATCTTATTTTTCCAATATTGGCTTACTGAATTCTGAAAGGCTTTTTTGATTTCGTATCGGATGGCTTTTAACGTGTATTTCAGTACGGCTATGAGAGGGTCATTGGCAGGACTGTAGTTATCTATTTTTATTAGTTTATTTATCGTTGAAATTAGTTGGCTTTTTTGTTTTCTAAGTATTTATATTTGTGATGTATATGTCTGTTAAGGGTGATGTATATATCTGTTAAGTCATAGTTGTTATTTACGTGATCTATTGCATTTGTGCTGTTTGTGTTAGGCTGTAGAATATATTTGTCAATTTCGTCTGTCATTTGGTAAGTCTATGTTGTTGTTATCGCTTAAGTGCGCTCTGAATTTGGGCCAATCTGCTATATATATAGTTATATTTTATGTTGGGGTTCTTTTCATTTGTTTCAAAATTGTCGTGTGTTTTTAGTGAAATTTTTATGGATACGGTTCTATGGTCGCTGTCATATTTGAAGATTTAAGTTTTTTCTGTGCTCCTAGACCGTGGAAATGAAGTCTGTTGTCTGCTATGCATATATCGAGGAATGATTCGCCTTTTGGATATGATGGAACTTCTGTGTGCAGTAGTGTAAGTCTGTAGGTTATTTGATCTGTATTGAGTCATTTTTTCAATGCTATTCCTCTATTGTTTGTAGAGTTGTTCCATGCACTCTTTTAAGATCGCCTGTTAGAAGGAAGTAGTTGTTATTTTTGTGGATTTGCTTGTATGTTGTATGCGTGAGAATCGAGCAAAGGCGTGTGTTGTGAGACAATTGCGAGTATGTTGCGTGATGCGTTTTTGTTCAGAAACGAGCAGAGAAGTATTCATTGCGAGTCTGAGATGGGAAGTGATATTGATCGGAGAGAAAGTGAATTCATAAGTGATAGTTATTACAAACGTTATTCAATTTATATATATAATTAAACATATTAATTAAGAGTGTGTTTTTTATTTAATTCATTCACAATTTTGGCTTTTGGCACAACACACAAATTAGTGTACACGCTGTCCGATCACGTTTAGCAGAATTCGGATTAAAAGGTCGCGTTGCACGCAAGATGCTGCTTATAAGCCAAAAAAATCGTAAAGCAAGATTAGCTTTCGCCAAGGAACACCTTCTCTGGACAAGAAATCAATGGGCCAGGATAATATTTACAGATGAATCCAAATTCAACTGTTTTGGATCGGATGGAAGAACTTAAGTAAGACGAAGAATAGGTGAGGAATTTAACCCAAAGTGCACAAAATCGACAATTAAAGGAAGAGGGAGTTCTGTTATGGTCTGGGCTGGAATGACTATAAACGGTCCTGGTCCAATTTGCCGTGTAAATGACATTCTGGATCAGCATCAATATGTTGACATCCTATGTTACGCGGGATTTGAATAGAACAACTTTTTAAAATGAGCCGGAATACCGTAGCATTCCAGCATAGCTTTTATTTATATTTTAATACAATGATACAATAATTTTAAAGACTTACGTTTAGTTGATGTAATGGAACTGACTTGAGGAGTTTGGGGATGGCCCTTTTATACTTGTTTTATCGGAGTTTTGGGCCAGGGTGGAATATTATTATCGTTATTTTGTTAGTGAATGAGTCGTCGTTACAATAAGTACGTGATTCATAGTGATTCATCGTTACATCCTAGACAAAAGTTTAATATCTTTTGCTGAGAAAAACTTACCAGACTGGATATTTTAAGCAGACAATGATCCTACACACGTCTAGGAAGGCTAAAGGATTTTTGGAGAAACATAATGTTAATGTTATGCGTTGGCCGACACAATCACCTGATTTGAACCCCATTGAACATCTCTGGAATTATGTAGAGAAGGAAATTAAAATGATAAAACCTTCCAATTTAAATATTTTGTACATTGTAATCGAAAATGCGTGGAAAAACATTTCATCCGACCGATGCATCACACTTATTAATTTTATGTCTCGTCGCTGTGCCGTCGAGATGATAAAAAATAATGGTGATCCAACAAAATATTAATTGCTAATTATCAATATGTTGTATAAGTAAGGAAATTTGTATTTAAAAAATAAAATAAGTTACTTTTTTAACAAAATTGGTGTTTCCCTATTTAACTGCTCGTCCAAAATGTGCCCGTTTTCTACAATGTATTTTTTTGTTAAAAATCAGACAATGTTAATTGTACATTGTATACTCATAAATGAAGTTAAGGTATCGTACTTTCAACATGTGCAAACAGAATAGGAGAAATATTAGTATTATACCATTAGGACACTGCATTAAATAAAAAATACTTTTTCCCTATTTGTAAATCTACATCATTATTAAAAAATTCAAGTGCAGAAGACCAATTCAAATAATATACAACAGAAAATCAAAATTATTTTTTTACTTTGTGAGTATCGTTTATACTAGAAAATAATTGTCGGACAAAGTACTCACTCCGGAATGCTGGTCACGGGAGCTCGAAGGAGACACGTATCCAGGCTAGATATTGCGCGGAATCAATTTCACTAGTACTCTGGAATTTCTGTACTATTATTCCCTGTCGGTACGTTGGAGTTCTTATATATACGGACTTTGTGTCCTTCCCGATCAAAAGATCGGACGGTAGTTTATTTTATTGTCCGGTCAGTCCCATAAAATTATTTTAGCAATTTCTTTATGGGGCTTTATAACGTTGCCTAGGTCGTGTTCCTTATAATGATAAACTATTGTTTAGTACATTCACTCCATTAAAAAAAAAGAATTAGACCAAGAGTGATTCCAAATAACAAATATACTTCACTCATTATTAATACCTTAATATATTAAACATATTGTGTTTCTCTCTTTCATTATATTATATTATTTATTTATTTTATGAAAAGATATTTTTCATTTTCATATGATTTTCTTATAATATGATTTTATATGTATAATATAATTTTGATAATATTGAAGAATAATTAAGTATTATTATTCACAAAATATATTTATGTTAAACTACAGACAATATATTAGCAATTATATTATTTATATATTCGTCGAAGCACACTGAAGAAACACGTGGACCGTCCGTTCATATTACACATACGTTCTTCATCTGTTAAAACAAAAGATCATCATCTGCGATCATCGATCACATCCATTCTTACAAACGCTTATTCCGCTGCATATTAATAGATGGTGACGCTCACATCATTATACAAATGAATTTCTCAACAAATATTCTACCTCCTATTTCCTTCTTTTGTAACAATTTCGATACAATACGGAACAAATTAATCGTCTTATATGAAGATTTACTATATTAGACATCAAATTCCATGGTATACTATGTTACATATTACATGGTATGTAATATTGTTATTCATCTCTAAAAATATCGAACGTAGGATGACTATTTATGCAGTCAATTGCAAATTTATCTTGTTGCATTCACTTACTACAAAATATGCAAACATTTTTAAAAGTCAAAAATACTTGCTATAGATTAAAATGATTATTGTAAAATTAATGTATTATATCTACAATCACTATTAATATGTATTTGACAAATTTCATTATAGATTTCAATAATTAATAATTTACACTTAAATCAACATTTTATTATTTAATAACATATCTATTAGATCAAATCTGCAAACTTTCATGCATGAATTACATTGTTATAAGAAAATTTAAACAAATATGAATAATACAAATGAAATAAGATAGAGAATGTATATTTCTTTATTTTAAGGTAATATAATTTCATTTACATGCAATATATACACCAAAATCATTAATTATTATCATAAGACTTACTGATTGTAAGTCTTAAAAAAATTATTTTGAGTCTATCTGAATTAAATAAACGTCCTTTAAAAAAAAAGATAATTTTTAAAAATTTTGAAAAAAAAATGAGATTGATTTCTCTAAACATTTAATATTACAATGTTACAATAATGTCAATTTAGTATTTTAATAAAATAAAATATAAGGAAAAGTTATTTCATACAAAAGTTCCAACTATGTTTCTTACAGAACAAGTCACATCTGTTGGGTCGTCGATTTTAAAGCAAAAATAATTTGACTATGTCCGAGCATTTCCGTCAATACTCATTATTTACAGAGATATTTAATGTTTCAATCTTCTATCAGAGCTATACATAATTCGTTTCTTAAAGCATTCTGAACACTAACATAGCAGTAGCGAAGCTGATAGTGTAGTGGATTTATACTCGGCGGTTTCAGGATAATAATCCTCCCAGAAAGAAGGATATTTTTGTATTCTCCATTTTTGTTTTCTTTTTTTTTCTTTTAGTTTTCTTGCTTTTTTATGTAAAATAAAAAATATATAATATTATATATCTACATTTTTATAGTATCCCTAATTACTAATTTATTTAAAATATCAGAAAATTTCAATATAAAATACAACGTCGAACATTTCAATTTTTATTAACTAATATTTCGCAAAAAAACATTACGATGTCTAGGATGATAAGCGTCATAAAAGCATGAAAAGCACAAATATACCTGGCAATATGAGCATTAAATGCTATATTTTTATAGGAACACTTTGCGTTTCTTACATAGTCTGTAAAGCAAACTTGGTTTACGTTGAAAAATATGGATCTATAAGATATTAATTTTGTTGCGTACCAGAAATAGTTAACCTTTGCATTGAAAACTGATGCAGATAATTAGATTATGAATCAATGAATGAATTTTGATAGCGTCTTCTCTACGTGAAAGTACATGATTGTTCTGTAAAATTTCTATAGCATTCTGTAATTTTTTAATTTAGCAGATTTAATTTTAAAATTTTTAATTTGAAAGAAATATGCATCGTACGGCTGACAAAATGGGATATAATGTGAAGGTCCAATGTTGATATGCAATTCCCTTCTTTATCTATAAAAATATTATTAAAATAGCCAACATCGGTTTGTCCTCCCCAGGAATCCAAAATTAATAAAAATTCGTGATTTTCACAATACAGGCTTATTATATTTTCTACGAAATCAACAAAATGATGTCAGTTTCCTAGATTTCGATGCAATGATAAATACATTTTTATACTGATCCATTAACACTTGTACTGTTTTGCGAGGTCCGAAATTTCCTTTCGTTTCTTGCATGCACAGAAAAATTTGTGGCAAAGGAGTACCTGCTACTGTTAAAGCATATTGAACCGTATAACTGTGCGTGACTTTATAAAATCTCCTAAGTAAACTTCTACTGCCTTTTTTCCTTCATATGATAAGCTTCTGCGTATATTCGCAGCGTATATTCCATTTTATCCGTATTTATTACATATTGGGCCTCAAAATATTTTATAGAATTTGATACTCTTCTTTGAAATTTCTCCGCTTTTTGTAAAATTTTCGGTAGATTCAATTCATTTTTTGATCTTATGTATCGTGCGACAGGGCAATCTTATGGGTATTTTTAAATTTTTTTACCCATGATTCAGATGCTGTAAAATGAAAGCTGTTCGACTGGAACGGTAATGCAGCAGCTAATGCCCACTGTTGTAACAGTCTAGTTGTCACAGGTCTTTTGTTATTTCTAGTTTCTGTAAAGCGATCGTACGTATATTTGTTAATATATTCAAATGATTCCTTCACTCCAACTCCTTCTTTTATTTCTTTTATCCACCGCTGTAGGTAGTCCTTCCGCCGAAGTTCTTGGCATCCATGACGTTGCAACGTTTGCAGACTCCATTTCGGGTGTTGTCTGGCAATATTAATTATTTTAAGTTTTTTATCAAGAGGTACAAAATCCAAAATTCTGGATTTTTTAGGTTCATGTTCTTGGAAACTGTCGCCTGCTGATGATGAACTTGAAGACGATATATTAATATCTGGTGAATCTTCTCCTTTACTATTAGTTGGCGAATCTTGTCCTACATCGCCAATTATATCGTTTTCAGGAATGTCTTCATTTTCTAAATAGCAGTCTTCTTCGTTTTCAAAAATAAAATCTTTCAAAACCTTTATTACGGCCTTTGTTATTTCTTCGCCAATCAATTGTGATTTTCTTCCTATTGTTTCGTTAGGTAGCCCTTCTACAAGATTCTGCGTTATCTGCGATGATAATTTAGAAATAGGTATATCACAAATGAATAGTTAAAAATTATAATACTAATACTAATTAAATTTACCAGTATACGACGACAAATCTCCAAAGCGTCCGTAATTTCTTGTTTTGAATAACGTAAGAGTTCTTCGCTATTCTCATGATCAAAATTAATTTCCTTCCCTGATACTTCCATTTTTTTTTTTCATTTGTTTTTAAATATATTCGTTATTACGTTACTATTATTATTATTATTATTATTATTATATATTACGTTATTATTATTATTATAATATATTCTGTTATTATTAATACTTTAATACTTACAAATACTTATAAATATAGATGTAAATAATATGAATGTAGATATATATATATGGTATGAATATAGATATGAAAATAAATACTTTAATACTTACAAATACTTATAAATATAGATGTAAATAATATGAATGTAGATATATATATATGGTATGAATATAGATATGAAAATAAATACGAAAAAAAAATATAAAAAGAAATAAATGCAGAATACTACTGCTACACTACCATTACTAATAATATTACTATTACTATTACCATTAATAATAATAACAATAATAAAAATAATAATGATAATTAAATTAAAGAAGAATAATTATAGATAATTATAGATAAATAGCAAAAACTAATTGTAAAGAACACTTGTGAAATTTGACTGTTACTACTCGCTATTCATTCAAGAAATGAAGCAACATAGTCAATGTATTATATACATACTGTATTATCATTACTAATTGTATTAATAAAGTGTTACTAAAATATTTTACTTTATGTTACAAATTCACATTTATATATTTCATGTATATATTTTATAACAAATAAAAAATTTTTTTGACAAATATATTTAATGGCATATTGTCAAAAATGTTATATGGATATAATAAAATTTTTTAAGTTAATATATAACAAATAATAATTCTGTAATCGCTAATGATTATTATTTAGCTGTCATATATTAGTTTTCTAATACTTGCAAAAATTTTCCAACTAAATTTCTACAATTAATAAAATTGTAATCATTGTGCAGCAATAAAATATAAAAAATTCATCTAAAATTTAAATATGTAAGTAAATTGGTTGCAAAATGTATAATGATAATCGTGTACAGTTCTTTGATCAATAAATTTTTAATTATTTTATTATATATTTTCTTTACATCAAATTTTTGAGCACCAAAAATGAATATATCTATTTTATATGAATTATTTTTGGAATTATTTTGCCATATTTTATAATAATTATGAATTTCTGCAAATATTATTTTATTTTATACTAATAAACATTTATTTCTATTTTATTTACCCATAAACAACATTAACATTAGCTTACCCATAATATAATGTTGGCTGACCATTTCTATAGTCAATTAGAAGTTTACTTCACCTATTAAAAAATATAAAAAAAAACAATTGATTATAAGTCCATTTTTAAAATTGAAAAAACCTTGCTTTAAATGATTAAAATGATTATAATAAAAGTAACAGTTTATACCTATAGTCAGTATTAATAATATGTATGTGACAAATTTCATAATTAATAATTTACACTTACACATATCTAATAAATTTCAATAATTAATAAATTACATTTAAAACATATCAAAACAGTTTACATTATTCAACAGAAAAAAAGGTAAGTAAATATATTCCCTTACACATACTAGTATATTAAATTATTGAAATTGAATTGAATTAACGTATAGTTTCTAAATTTAAAATTAACATTTTATCATTTAACAGTGTATTTATTGGATCAAATTTACAAATTTCTAAACATTTTTTACATGAATAAACAATTTATAAATTTAAATACAAATTCATAAATATAATATTATTTAATATATAATACATAATATATAAATTTATAAATGCAATATACAAATTCTTTATATGAATAAAGAATTTATAAACCATATTATTACAAATTTAAATGCACAAGAATAATGAAATAAGATAGACAATGTTTATGAAATAAGATATAAAATTTATTGCTTCATTTTAAGATGATATAATTTTATTTACCTATAATAGATACATCAAAATCATATAGTTTTAAAGAAATATTATTTTTGATAACTTTGAGTCTATCTCTGTATTAAATAAATGTCAAAAAAATGAGATTAATTAATTTCTCTGAACACTCAAATGTTACAATAATGTTAATTTACTACTTTAATAAAATATATGGAAAAGTTGTTTTATAATAAATCTATATGTTCCTTAAAGAAAGAAAGAGGTAGAAAATAAAATAGGAAAGAACATAACATATATAAAAATATAGAAGTTTAAAATATGTTTATAAAAGAAATAAATACAATTAATCTTTAAATAATCCTAAATCAAGAAGCAAACATTATTTTGAGTATATAATTATATTTATATATTTTAATACACATATTATATAAATACAACTAAGAATGTCTTCCAGTAAAGAAGATTATTGAATATTATGAACCTTATGAGCGAAAGCATAATTATTATAGGAATAATTTTTACAGGAGAAATTGCATTAAACCATATTAATCTTTAAAAAATAAAACAAAACAGCATTATGCATCAATTTTCTATAAATCTATGATGTTACTTCATTATTCTTAAGTCTAAAATATTTTTGGAATATTATACTCTTGTGAACTTCTTTCCAAAAATGTTTGTATAAGTAAAACTAATTATGGAATAAAGACCATTTATTTAATTAACTATTAAATCCTTCATGAATCATGAAACATTTATATTTTTACATGTTTAGTACACTCGATTTAAGATTTTTTAATATTTTGCTTAATCTTTTTTTTAAATGTAAAGTTCAAATGTCTTAGTCATAATTTTATTATTCTATTTTGATAAGTATACAATATTATATTATATAGAACAGTGACTTTTTAGTACTAAATTCTAAAACTATATGATATAGAATAATGATTCAGTATTATCACAAAATAATAACAAATAAAAATCTTCTTTAAATTTCTTTCAAACATTTTGATTATATAAAATACGAAAAAGATTTGTGTAAATAATTGTATATATGTAAAAAATTGAAAAACAATATACTAAAATAAAGTAAAATATGATAAATATAAAAATTAAAATTATTTATAACTTTAGAAAAATACGATGCAACAAAAAGTACAAAGTAAAGGTATAATGAAAAAGTTAAAATAAACTTTACTTACTTCTTCTATTCATAGATTTTTTAATATAAGAAATTGAGTTTTCATGTTCTAGATACACATTCCATGTGTTGATAAAATAACAATACAATAATTAATTAATAATAAACACACTCTTTCTGTGAACTATAAGTGAAACTGAAAATGACGAAAGGTTAAGATATTTTCTGTGGAACATATGTACATTATTCGACAGCAATAGCGATACAAATGTAATGTAACACTGAAATTTAGAAACGTTATGAATTTTATATCTCTACCTATGAAATTTGAAAAACATTTTAGAAAATTAAACAATTTGTGTATTCCCAAGTCGGATATATACAATGGATGTACCACAAACAACGTACATCGATAGACTTAACATGCAATATATTTTTTTCTCCTACATTCGTAAAACCCCATTTCTATTTTCATGTCACATCCTGTTGTATCAATTTATGCAGAGTTTACATTGCACCGCTGGTAGTGAAAGAATTAAAATCAAAAGATACGGACAGTGATGCAAACTGTTTCAAAAATTATTTGTTGAATTGAATATAATCACATGATACTTTTAAATAGATATAAATAATCAAATATAAATCTTTCATTTAAATTTTTCATTTAAATTTTTAACCATTATTTTAAATCATATTTTTTTTTATTGGTGAAATCTAATCACGTTTAATTCAATAAATAAATTTCAATGTAGAAGTAACAATACTCTTCACATTTTTTATTTTAATTCCTATCACTTGTAGTGCTGTACAAAATTTGCCTAAATCGCTACAGTAGTAGTAACAAAAATAGTAAGAGAGAACTTTTCGAACGTATAATATAAAAATGCATTACATCTTTTCTATATCTCGCTTGTGTTTTAAGTTAGGTAATGAAAACGGTAAATATGATTGTGATTATTATTACAATGTTCAAATATTATCGATGTAAATTCGTTGTCGATCTATATTATAAATAAATTCTACAATATTGAAATGCAACATAGAAATATCAATTTTACGCGGAAAGCATCACAAGAAGAAAAATTAAACAGAATTCTAGATAAAGATTACATTCAGTAGCTTTCATTTTTGCGTCAAATACGTTTATAGTTTAGAAAGAGTAACGTGCATTATTTTAAAAAGTTTTTCCAATTCAGTCGATGTTGGTTAAAAATAAATACAGTGCCTCGCAAATGTATTTGAATATATTTTATGTATGTATGTATTATGTGTGTTACATAACATACTGTGTTTCTTTCGTACAGTTATGAGACATGTTAAATAAAGCAATTTGAAAATTCATGATACAGGGTGAGTCTCGTAACGTGACGACACCAAATAACTCATAAAATATTTGTTGTACGAGAAAATGTTCAGATAGAAGTTGCATGGCTGCCAGGGGGACATATAGTACTGTAATCAGTTTTATGTTTTGTTCACCTTCAGTTTTTTAAATGGAATAGTTAATATTTCTTCCCGAATTCGGATAAAGTGTTGAATTCTACATAAAAAAACTTTTATGTTATTTTGCTTTTTTATCAAGATATGAAGGTTACCTTCAATTTTTTAAATGGAATAGTTAGTATTTCTTCCCGAATTCGGATAAAGCATTGAATTCTACATAAAAAAAGTATTACCAAATAGGGTCTAAAATACATAGTTACTAACGGTCTTTTCTAATACAATGTAAAAAAAATTTTGCTGATATCTCTATTTAATAATTTATCAAATATTACAATTTATAAGTAAAATTTAAATTTATAAGTAAAAGCTATCTTTCTCTCTTTAATTATTTTTTTCGTTATTATTTACTAATAGAATCATGTAATATTATTTTATTGTTATACTGTTTGTCTCTTTTATATATTTGATTTCACACATATTGCATGTTCAATCAGAAATTTTAACAGTTGTATTTTTTCTTTTTATCGGATAATTAATAACTTTTGTAATAATTTATACTACTAAGGAAAAGGAATGTTAGGAGAGATTTGGAAACATTCTGTGCATTGAATCTTCGCAATCTGTTTAGTAGATATTGTTAAGAAATCTTAAGATTTATAAGTAGTGTCTGTAAAAAATGTTATTTTGTTTAGGCGGGAATCTTTGTAGATTAAATAGAAAGAAAATATGCATCTCTTTTATATTGAAAATTAAAGAATATATTCTTTTCATACAACACTCACCGCCTCTATTTCCTTATTAGCTTTAAATACTTTTGTATCTGGGACAAATGAAAGTAATTATGCTTAATTAAACGTGACATTGAAAAGCAGAAGATAATTTTTTAGTAAGCATATTTCATCTTTCTCTTTCATGACGGTACATAGATAGATAGATTTATTTGTTTCGACTTATTATGCCAGGAAATGAACTCGGTTTTACATTTCGTATATTTTACGTCTCTCATTCGTCACTCATTTCGTTATAGATGCTATACTTAATACGGTATAACATAATATAGTACTATTTTTTATCTTACATTCTAATCTATTCTCATATCCCTATCTAATTATTCCGTACACTCACACATACACTCTCTATAAAATATACATTTATTATTTCCTTATTACACTCTCTTACTGTCGCCACTTTGTACATTATTGCTCGTTAACTTGCTTTCTTAACTTAACTTTTCATTTCTTTTCTTTTCTAATACTCTACACCATTCTACGGTTTCTTCTGTGTATTTCTCTGATATTATTTTTTGGACATCGAAGTTTACTCTGTTTAGTTTGTTGCATTCTTTACCATGTGCCATAATGTGTCTGCCATTTCTTTGCATAGTATGAATTTCCTCCTTACCTCACTTTCCCAATATCTGTTATTGTTTTCCATGTTTCTACATCTGATCCTTGCTTTTATTTTTTGCATCATCTTTTTTCCTTCAATCTACAGGTATGTAGGTAGTGGCGTATTCTATTTCTTTATACCTCTTGTTGTATTTTGTCTGTTAGATTTTCACGTATATATATAAAATTTGTCTATCTATTTCATTCCTTCTTTCCTTTAGCTTGTCACTTACTTTTATTCCTCTCCTTTTTAACATTTCTAGACCTTCTTGGCTTAAGCCGCATTCATTAATAGACTTCATCCTCTGTCTTCCCCACTCTGTTTCTGTCTGACTTTTTCGTCACTTCTTCTACGCATTTATTTAACAGTGGCTTTTTGTCTTCTTTTTCACTCTTTTCCTTGAATCTTGCAGCCCGTTTTATTGTATTGCTGTGCATTCTGTTCCTTAGAGTTTCTTTTCTTTCCTTACTATATAATTTGGCGTCCTTACTATATAATTTGGCGTCCATCTATCCAACACCACTTTTTCCACCTCCATCCATTCTTTCCAGCTACAAACTTCGACTCCATAGCTCATTACGCTTGCAATTAGTCTAACGTATAACCACATCCTTTTCCTAAAGCTACCCCTAAATAGTCTTTCGTCTAATTCCCATACTTGCCTTGTCGCTATCATATCCTTTCTAACAAGACTGTTTATGTAGTCTTTACTATTTCCTTTTTTATCAAAGGTATTATTTGGGTATGTAAAGCTTTTGACTTCTTCCATTTCTTTATCTCCTCAGTATCATTTTCTTTTCTTCTTCCTTCCTCTACTTTCCTCAAACACCATCACCTTAAATTTTTCGCAGCTCAATATTAATTTCTTTTCCTTTAGGTACCGTTTCACTACTTTTGTCATCTCCTTTAAGGTCTCTTTACTTTTTGCCAGTAGCACAATATCGTCCGCGTACGCTAGGCTCCATATTCTGTTGTCTTCTATCTCCACATCCCCAATGTCGGTCTCCCTTAGTTTCTTTTCCATATCTGCTATATATAAGGCGAATAACATCGGACTCAGAGGACATCCTTGTCGTACACCCTCAGTTAGCTAGAACTCCTCACTATTATCCCTTTCTGTGTACACTTCCACTCTTACTTCCTCGTAGATCTCTACTGCTCTCTCTATTAATCCTTTTCTTACTGCTCTTTTTTTCATGTCGTGCCACAGCTTTTCCCTATTCACTGTATGAACGTTGCTTTCAAGTCCATAAAGAATGTGTATATTTTACTGCCTCTTTTCGATCTCTCCTTTTGTATGATGTGCTGGAGCATATATATATTGTCTACCGTGCTTTTGTTTTTCCTGAAACCTGCTTGTATTCCTTTCTCTACTTCGTCTGTTATTCTTTTATTTAATATCGCGGCATAGATTTTGTATATCGAGTTCAGCAGTGTGATTCCTCGATAATTCGAAACTTCCTTCGTTTCTCCTTTTTTATATAACAGGTATATTATACCTTTCTTCCAACCATCTGGAATGCCTTCACTTTTCCAAACTTTTTGTATTACCTCTCTAATCTTTCTCTAACTATCCCCGTGCTATATATGCGTTTGGGATTTGGTCTTCTGTGGCTTTCTGTGTTTTTAGGTTCCGTATTTGTTCAACTATCTCTTTTACTGTTAATTCCTGTTCTGAATTCTCTTCGATGTGTCTTTTACTCAATGCTGTCTTTCTTCGTTCTCTGCTCCCTAGCAGATTCATAAAGTGAATTTTCCATTTTTTTACAGGTATATCGTTATTTTTACCCTTTTCTTCTTCTACTTATTTATTATCTTCCATGCTTCTGTGTCCGATCTTATTGCCTTTACTTCTGCTGTTAATTTCTCCGCTACTTCTGCTCTTTTCTTTTTACACAATTCTCTGTGGCATTCTCTGCTTCTTATATAGCTTTCTCTATCTATTATTCCTGCCTTCAAACTCTGTATTCTGTTAATCCTTCTTTTACTTCTTATGCATTCTAGATCAAACCATGGTGCATCGTTCCTTCTCCTCTGTTCTTGCACTTCCTTCTTCGGTACATAACTATCTACTACTTCCATTTGTTTAAAATGTAGAAAGTAAGGAAAACAGAAGGATTGACACAGACGAATAGATGTTAAAAATGATTGTATTTCCTGACCACGTTCTGCACAATTTGGCATGATGGTAAGCGTCGTTCTATACCGCTTGGTCGAGCACCACCTTGTTGTGGCGGCTGGAAACGTTGTCTTCTGCCGCTATCCTCGGTGCGACGGCTGAGCACGTCCTCGTGCAGCCCACTACTAGTGTCCTCGATGTGAAGGCAGCTCACACAGCTCATGCAGCTTACAGCCGATGTCCTCGATGTAAAGGTAGCTTACACAGCTCACGCAGCTTACAGAGTGAAGATTGCTGAAAGGAAATGTGATCGCACTGGACAAGTTCTAAGCTTCCGAGTGGGAGGGCGATCGCCTTTTACTTTGTTTTGTATATCATTACTAAATAAACATTTTGTTATCTTCATTGGTTAGGGACCCAGAAACGCCCAATGAAAAAATATAACCTAAAAAAAAGGATAA